TTCCCCAAAATTATTCTAAATTAGGGACCTTGCTGAATTTCTCCTAAATGTCTGAAGAGATTTCTGTGGGTTAAAAGAGTGGACTCTGAACACAAGTTTCTTGGAGGGAAGTCAAGGTTTCTGGTTATTGGACCAGCTGTGAGGGGTGAGGGATAGCGTGGCTGGAAAGTCTGGGTCCGGTTTCCTGGCTCTTCAGCATGTGCCTCAACTATTGCCGACAGGGTTAGCCCATTTGCTCTTCACATTCCCTTGCACTTATTTAAGCGCTCTTTGGGTGAGGGTGGGTCCAATGGAACTTGGAGAGATGGGACTGGAGAAGCCACAAACGGCTTATTAGAAGCCCTGCTCTCTGGCCTGAGCCTCCAATGAGGGTGGGGAGCTGGGAGCTGAGCCTGGGCAGCCCTGGAACCCACAAGCAAAGGCATGAGGGATAGAGATGTATGTTCAGGTCTCTGCCTGCCACTTGCATGCTGCAGCCTCACCTTCTTCACTGGCAAACAGCTTAACACTAAAACTTGGGCTGCCTACTTTGCAGAGAGGGCTGTGTAGAGGCTCCGATGAGCCAGAGAATGAGCTTCACAAAGACTGCCAATAAAATATGGACAAGTTAGTGTGAGCAAAGAAAATGGCAGTGATAATTTTCAAATTTTCACCTCTAGCCTGCTCTGAGGGACAAAAAGCACAACCAAAGGATTTGTATGCATGCATATTAGCATAACCACTGGATACAGACGCTGGAAGGGAGGGCTTGCCCTGGGTGGGAATGCCTGGGGAGTGGGGGAGAGGTCAAGTGGGTGGAAAGGAGACATATGTAAAACTTTAGACAATCAAAAAAAAAAAATGTTCAAAAACAAGGGCCACCAGCTGAGTCTCTGCCAACCCAGAACTTGTTCTGACCCCAAGTTCTGGTGCCCTAGCGTCACTGAGAGTCTTCAGTTTGGAACAGAATAAAGCTCTTCAAGGGGAAAGTTTTGGAGATCTGACTGTCAATTTTATTTAAATTTTCCACCATTCATTATTTTATACCATTTCACAATTCTTTAAATATGTGAGCTGCTTTCACAACTACTGTATCAGTTATCCTATATTACCCCCATTTACAAGTGAAGAAACTGAAGCTGAGATCTGGTAAATGCAACTTGCACCTGGGGTCTCTGACTTCAAGTCCTATATTCCTGGAAACCACTATTTGGAAAGGAAAGAAGAAAGGAAGGAAGGAAGGAAGGAAGGAAGGAAGGAAGGAAGGAAGGAAGGAAGGAAGGAAGGAAGGAAGGAAGGAGAGAGGGAGGGAAGGAAGGAAGGAAGGAAGGAAGGAAGGAAGGAAGGAAGGAAGGAAGGAAGGAAGGAAAGAAGGAAGGAAGGAAGGAAGGAAGGAAGGAAGGAAGGAAGGAAGGAAGGAAGGAAGGAAAAAGGTGGCAGGGATAAGAAAGAAAGAAAAGAAAGAAAGAAAAGAAAGAAAGAAAGAAAGAAAGAAAGAAAGAAAGAAAGAAAGAAAGAAAGAAAGAAAGAAAGAAGGCGTACTGTACTTCAATGAAAAATAATTTTTAAAATCATGGTACTTTGAAATTTATCCAAGCAACCTCATACACTGAACAAATAAGAGAGAGAGAAAGAAAGAAAGAAAGAAAGAAAGAAAGAAAGAAAGAAAGAAAGAAAGAAAGAAAGAAAGAGCCAAAGAAAAAGGTGGGAGGGATGGAATAAAAGGGATAGGAAGGAGGAAGAAGAAAGAGTTGGATAGGAGGTCAGGTGAGGAGAGAAGAGGGAAAGGAAGGAAGCAAGAAAGCAGGGAAGGGGGAGGGGGGACTCGTTTAAGAGGAGCAAAAAGCATAATTTAAGCAATACACACCTGAAGAATAAGGCTCAGATAGGTCCATTGCATGCGGGGTGTTTGTTCACTGCCCTACTCCTCAAGCGCAGACCAGTCACCTGCTTTCCCTTGCCTGCGGGGACCCCCATCCCATTCCGCTGCGGGTCCAAGCACCCGCAGGACCCAGCACCGCAGCCCTTAAGTCTTGCCCTTCTTGATTCGGCTGCCTGCGGGTTCACCACGCCGCCGAACTCGGCAGATGAGCCTTTGGATCAACAACTGGGCCCAGCGCTGGCTGTAGCAGGCGTTGGAAATGCCTTGGAAGGCGCAAGCCCTGGTCCTCTCGCTCAGCCCTCCGAGCCCGAGCTTTGGGGATGTTTGGGCTCTCAGCAGCGCTCCGGAGGATTGAAGGTCTGAAGGTTGCCCTGACCAGAGGCGTCAGTCACATTTGACCTCAAATCCCTTAGCGCCGCCCGCACCGGGGCACGCTAACATAAAGTTGCCCAAGACAACATCAACGCATGGGTGCAAATTAACGCAGAGAAGAAGGAATAGAACGAGTGAAAGAGCCCGGGTTCCAGCATGCAGACAGCTCACACTAGCCAGGACGCGCCGGTACTAGCAACGGGGCTGCTAACGCCTGGGTCCTGGAAAACCCAGGTTCAAACGCTTTCTCCGCAGGAAATGCAAGAAATTAAACGATTGGAAACAACCACTACCACGCGGATCATCTCTGCCCCCGCCCCCGCTGTTTTCTCCATTTTTGCCTTCTGTCTATGACTGCTCTGCCCTGCCCAGGGTCTGCGTATCTTCCTAACCCACTGCGTGCGCATCCTGCTCCGGAACCGCGCTGGGAGGGCGCCAGGGGCTGGCGCCGGAGTGGGGATGCCCTCGCGGCAAGGGGGCGCTGTCCCCTGGAGGCCTCTGACCCGGTGGTGGAGCACTGTCTCGGCCTGGAGGGCGGTGGAGTTAGAAAAGGTGGGGACCAAATTCTCCCCGGGATCCTCCGCTGCAGCGCCAGTGCCCGTGCCCGGATCCCTCTCCACCCCTCACCCTTCCCATTCCCTAAAGAGCTGCCCTTCCCCGGACGGGCGCGGCCCTCGCTCCCCGCCGTTCCCAGAGCATTCCGGCCTGGGATTTTTCTAAAGGAATTTCTGGCAGAGGGGTCCAACACGGGAAATGGCCTAGGCCTCCCGGGGTAGGGAAACCCGCCTAGACCGCGGACACATTCTCTCCGCAGACCTGCCCCACCCCGCCCCGCTCGGCCCCGGCGCCAGCCTGCCCCACCACCGGGCTCCACCTCGGGCTCCAGGATGCTCTCTGGTACAAAGCACCCGCTTTCCAGCTCGCTCTGCGCGGTGCCCGGCGCCCTGGGCTGGTCAGCCCTGACTCGGCAGAGCAGCAGGCGGAGGCCTACGGTACTGCTTCTGGCTCCTGGCTGGAAGGGAGAGGAAAATGATTAGCTGTTCATTTTATGCGGAGAGCCCGTTCTCGGATGAAAACTACCAGGGTCTTTAGAGATTAAAATTGTGACTTAAACACCGAGAAGTTGCATCTCTCCGTCCATTTGCCGCATTTTAGCCGTGGAGGCGGTTCGGGTGTGCGTATTGCGCGCAAGGTGCCCGTGAACCCGGTACCAGCGCGCCGCGCGCTGGGGCATTTCAACCCGACTTAGAACCTACCAGCTCTACATCCAGAGTTATCTTAACATCTGCCATCAAGTATAGAGTTTGAACCTCGCATAGGTTATCTCATCGAGTCTTCACAACAGCCCTGTGAGATCTAGTCTTACCGTCGTCTTCTTTTAGGATCGGGAAAGGAGGTTGAGAGAGATACCCGACTTGTCCTGAGTCACACGAGTTAGGTAACCCAGACACGGAAGGCAGGCCCGGACCCCAGACCCCCCAGTCCTCCCCTGACAAAGCTATACCTCCCTTCTGGGTCGCTTCTGGGGAGCGCCGCGCAGGAGAGGGGCGCACACATACAGCAAATATTTGTGGTTAGAATTCCAGGATCTAGTCAAGCCTTGTGATTGTGGTGTTTTATACAGTAGGGTGTGTCCTCGTCGTATTTACTCACTCATTTCTTCATTCACTTATTTGGTGTGCCAGCGCTGAGGTTAAGAACCAGGGGGAACAGTCCTACCCACAGGAAGCAGGGTGACACGGAGATGTCGCCCCATGGGAGGTGGGTGTCAGGGCGAGGGGAACTCAGGGGCTCCAGAGCTTGCAGGAGGAGAAAAGAGAAGATACAAGGAGGGAATTCCTTGAGAGAAGAGCTAGCGACAGGGGGGCTGGAGACCCCGCACTGGAGACCACAGTGGGGTGGCGAGGGGGGTGTAAGAAGAGAGAAATCAGGTGGCAGGTGGAGTGAGTAAGAACTGAGCACGCAGGTCGGGGAGCCTCGGAGACATCGGGGGAGGGAGGGGCCCGCAAGGGTGCTGCCTAGACCACGATGCGGGATCCAACTCCAGCCCCTGTTAGCCTCTGGTGACCACCAAAGTCGGCTGGGGGCCCTGGTCATTGCATACGACGTGTGTTCTCTGGAGAACGGTCCCCAAGCTGCTCTGGGAGGTTCATGGTCAATGTCTCTGGCGCCCGGCATTCCCAGGGAAACCTGCTGGATTCGGTTCTCCGCTGGATCCCACGCCCGGGAGGAGCTGGTGGCGTCTGGCCCGTGGAGGCCGTGGCCAGGGGACCGGCTCCGGCTCCTACTCCCGGGCGAGGTGACCGCGGGCGGTGCCCGCCTTCCTGCTCTGCGGCACCTGCGCCGGGAGCCGGGAGCCGGGATCCGGGAGCCGGGAGCCGGGAGCCGAGAGCCGGGAGCCGGGAGCCGGAGGCGGCGGGACGGGAGGCGGCCCCGGGCGGCGGGGCGCTGTCCCCGGGAGGGAACAGGGAGGCGGAGGGGCGGGCTGGGGGCGGGCGCGGGGAAGCGGCCCTCCTTTCCTCTCCGGCTCCCGGGCGGCAGGTCGGAGCGGGGACGGGGAGGTCGGGGACTCAGGGAGGGGGCCGCGCCGAGACGGAGGGAGGGGCCGAGCCGCCGCCTTCAAGAATCATTGGCGGACGGGACCGCCCGAAGCTGATAAATAAGGGGCCGGGCCGCGGCTGCGGGCCAAGTTGGACGCCCCGACCCGTGCGAGGGCCAGGTCCACGCCGGCCCCGCGAGGCGCAAGCAGACGACCCCCCGTGCGGCCATGGCCTCGCTTTTGGGAACTTACCCGTGGCCCGAGGGGCTTGAGTGCCCAGCCCTGGAAGCCGAGCTGTCCGACGGGCTGTCGCCGCCGGCCGCCCCCCGTCCGCCGGGGGACAAGGGCTCGGAGAGCCGCATCCGGCGGCCCATGAACGCCTTCATGGTGTGGGCCAAGGACGAGAGGAAACGCCTGGCGGTGCAGAACCCGGACCTGCACAACGCAGAGCTCAGCAAGATGCTGGGTGAGTGCCGGCACGGGCCGGCGAGCCCGAGGGCGCGGGCAGGGGCGCCGGGGCGAGCGCGCAGAGAGTGGCCGAATCTGCGGGTGGGGACGCGGGGGGCGCGGTGCCGCCGAGGCTGGGCGTCTGCGCGGCCGTGGGTGTGAGCGCAGGGCCTGGGATTCAAAGCAGGGGCACCTCGGCGAGGCCCGAAGTGAAACAGCTTGGCCCTGAGGTGGCCCGGGAGGACAGGAGCGGGATTGGGGGCCCCAGGGTGCGGGCCGGGCGGGGCTGTGTCCTGGTCTGGGTCGCCGCGCCGCGGAGACCCGAGCCCGTACTGAGCGGCCGGAATGGACAGATACTCGGAGATGAGTGGGAACTGGCCTTTGCTAGGGAAGATGAGAAATCCATCCAAGAGAGAGATGATAACTATTATTAACGAATATTCGTGAAGAGAGACCTTGCAGAACGCATTCCTTCTTCAATTTTATCATTAAAGTCTATGCAAATAGACTCCATTGGAGACTCCACGTCTCAATGGCAGCCGTTTGGTTCATTTGATCCGGACACTCGGGGCGCCAGCGGTGAGGATCTGTCTGTCCCGAAGCCTGGCCTGGCCGCTTCCTGGAGGGGGGGGGGGGTTGATGCTGTGCAGTCCCAGCAGGGGTGGTGGGACCGGGGACAGGGATGAGCCCGGAGAGAGGATGTTAGGGCAGGTCGGAAAAAGCAGAGTTCCTGTCAGGCTTTCTAGTCTCTCTCCCCTGGCTGGAGCTGAGCACTTTTCAACTCCGCCCTTACCCCTAACCTCCTAACTGGTGGGAACCTTTGGAAACACTAGGTGAGGGGAGCGGACCCCAGGCCCTGCGAGCAGGGACAGCGTGTGGTTGTGGGAGACTGGCCCTGCTCTCCAACCCCAACAGACCCAGAACCAAAAACACCAGTTTCCCTTTTCCGTTGGCGTTTGGGCTTCTTCGGGGTTGAAACCGTGAACTGAGGACTGACACCCCACTTTTCTGCCGGTTAAAGCCACAGGCCCCCAGAGAAGGTCCCTGCGGCAATCTAGATGCCCTTTCAAAGCGGCTGGTTGAGTAGAGGTTTCCAAGAGCCTTCTAACTGCCCAGCCTCCTGGTCAGCCTGCCCTGGACTCGTGAGGGAGCCATGTCTTAATGAGCCTCTTCTCCTTAAAAAGTGTTTGAAATTGTATTTTACCTGGTTGGCATAAAGACAAAGGTATTGGTATACACAACAACATGTTTTCTTCAACTTGAAAGTTCATATTGGCCCTCAGATTGCTAAAGAAATGAAAACACTTTTTTTTTTTTTCATGTGTGGGCCTCTAAAAGGTTTTTTTGGTAGGCCCTAGATGCTGTTCCCGGATGCCCTTGTGGCAGGGATAGAGCGGGGTTTCTGTTGCAGACCCAGGGCCAGAGACTGGAGAAGAACTTGGTCTGGGGAGCGTTGCAGGAGTGAGGCTGCCTGCTCCCAGGGAGAGGGCTGGCCAAGGCGCCTGGGGGACAAATGCCTCCCGTAAGCTGATCTCCGCTCCCTACTTGCATTTCGGCTTTCAGAGGTTACAGTCCATTTTGCAGGAAAGACACAGATTCCTTCCTGCTGAACCACACAGCCCCTGGCACAGGGGGAGGAAAACCAACCCGGGGTTGCTTTTTCAAACACGGTCTTTCTAATCTGTTCATAGCATGATCGATTTTAACTCCCCTCCCCGTTCCTCACCCCGGGATCTTGCCCAGCCCTTTCCTTTCTGACCTAGGAAAGGAAGGGACTGGATGTGAGAGTCCCAGCTTCCCCCCCACCCCCCCAGCTTTGTAATCTGTAACATTGAAAACCTCACCAGGAACACTAGTATTCGGAGTATATTATGAATGAGGAAGTGCATAAAGGCAGCTGTACATTTAGTGACATTTTATTAATACTGCAACCAGGTACACTTAGAACCTAGAGTCACATTTTATATACTCGTTCCACAGACACGGGATGTGTGTGTGTGTGTGTGTGTGTGAGAGAGAGAGAGAGACAGAGAGAGAGAGAGAGAGAGAGAGAGAGAGAGAGAGAGTCTGGATCTTGGGCCTCTTGCAACAACTTTGTGGCCTCAGCCCAGGCTGGGAGCTGCGGATCAGCTCCAAATCCAGAGTTCCTCACATTTTTCACATTGCCCTTTTAAGCTAAGGATATTACCCGATGATGGCCAGCACAGTTATAGACTTTTATCCCAGTGGCAGAACACCTTTAATAATCCTCCTCCTCCCACCCACTTGGAGGGCCTGGTGTGCAGAGCCAGCCCACAAGGGCACGGGCACCAGCAATGGAGGGCCACACACAGCTCTACTCCCTCTGTGCAGAGGGCTCCGGGTGGGAGATGTGCCCTTTCCTTACAGGGCTTAGCAGGGCCTGTCCTCCAGGCTAGTAACGGAAACGTCAGCACACATCAGAGTCAGGGGGACTTGTCCTGGTTGTAGAGCCTGAGTTCACCCTAGGACCGTGGGTCGGCAAACTGTGGTTCTCGAGCCACATGTGGCTCTTTGGCATCTTGAGTGTGGCTCTTCCACAAAATACCATGGCCTGGGTGAGTCTATGTTGAAGAAGTAGCATTAGAAGAAATTTAAGTTTAAAAAATTTGACTCTGAAAAGAAATTCCAATCGTTGTACTGTGGATATTTGGCTCTGTTGGCTGACCCCTGCCCTAGGAGGTAGCAGCCTAGGGGTCCAGCAGTGACCTTCAGAAAACCTGCAGCTGGAGGGATGTGCAAGGCACTTAGAAAGACCGAATACAGCCTTTTACAAAACAATACACAAGTGAGGGAGGACGAATAGGAAACACAAGTGAACCCAGCATTGTAGTCCCAGCATTGGGGTCCATGTGTATGAAGCTTTTAAAAGAGGGAACTTTGAGTGGGGTAGTATCACAGTGTGTTTTCTAATGAGCAAAATAGACACCCAGGGAAGTTTGCTTCTGTATGGAGAGTCAATGGCTGTGCGGGTGCCCCTGCCAGAGTCCAAGGGAGGAACGTGTGTGTGTGTGTGTGTGTGTGTGTGTGTGTGTGTGTATACATGTGTATGCATGCATATGTGCATTCTGGCCACTAGGTCCTCAGACAACAGGGTCCTATTTGACCTTCCGATGTAAGGGGCAATCATGTTACCTTAAGTGAGATCCTCTCATTTAATTTTATCTGTGAAATTATTACTCTACCTGGGCTCCCTTATGGAGAGGCCTGTGAGGTTTATACACTAATTAAATATTACACTATCACCCTGAGAAACAGCAATAATCCACGAGGACAGAGGATCTTCACTGAGATGCACAGATAATTAGAATCGGCTCTCCAAGGGGTTAAAAGAACCCAAGTCAATGCTGTAGTCCTTATATATTTTTCTCCCATGGCTGACACTGGCCTTTTGCTGTGAGTCCCACCTGCTTTCCATCCATGTTCATGTTGTGGGATGGTTTTTATAGGGGAGGTGATGTGGAAGTGTGTGTCTTTGGCATGAAGGGGTGTTGCCCAGTGCAGGTGGGGGAAGTTGGTCTGGCCTCACTGTGTGCTCAGCACCTGGGCTGGAAGAGGGTGCCCTCGCGGGTGCCTGGTGCTTGGGGGCAAGGGCCTGAGACAGGTGCACCCGCCACCCGGAGCAGCCTAGATCCTGACAGGGGCCTTTTCTGACTTGTGTGAGCAGGAAAGTCTTGGAAGGCGCTGACCCTGTCACAGAAGAGGCCCTACGTGGACGAGGCGGAGCGGCTGCGGTTGCAGCACATGCAGGACTATCCCAACTACAAGTACCGCCCGCGCAGGAAGAAGCAGGCCAAGCGCCTCTGCAAGCGCGTGGACCCCGGCTTCCTCCTGAGCTCACTGTCCCGGGACCAGAACGCGCTGCCGGACAAGCGGGGCGGCGGCAGCCGGGGGGCGCTGGGGGACAAAGAGGACCGGGGTGAGTACTCCCCGGGCGCCGCCCTGCCCAGCCTCCGGGGCTGCTACCACGAGGGGCCTGCGGGCGGCGGCGGCGCCCCGGGCAGCACGGACACCTACCCCTACGGGCTGCCCACGCCCCCGGAGATGTCCCCTTTGGACGCGCTGGAGCCCGAGCAGACCTTCTTCTCCTCCCCGTGCCAGGAGGAGCACGCGCACTCCCACCGCATCCCGCACCTGCCCCGGCCCCCCTACTCCCCGGAGTACGCCCCCAGCCCTTTGCACTGCCGCCACCCGCTGGGCTCCCTGGCCCTGGGCCAATCCCCGGGTGTCTCTATGATGCCCGCGGTCCCCGGCTGCCCCCCATCCCCTGCCTATTACTCCCCCGCCACCTACCACTCTCTCCACTCCAACCTGCACGCCCACCTGGGCCAGCTCTCCCCGCCTCCGGAGCACCCGGGCTTTGACGCGCTGGATCAGCTGAGCCAGGTGGAACTCCTGGGGGACATGGATCGGAATGAGTTTGACCAGTATTTGAACACTCCCGGCCACCCAGACTCCGCCGCCGGGGCCGTGGCCCTCAGTGGGCACACCCCCGGCTCTCAGATGACACCCACGGGCCCCACAGAGACCAGCCTCATCTCCGTGCTGGCGGATGCCACGGCCACGTATTACAACAGCTACAGCGTCTCCTAGAGCCAGAGGCCCACCGCCCAGCCCTGCCTCCGCCTTGGGCACAGAGCATGCCCCGGATCTCCCTCCTGGGCCCTGACCATACCGACCAGCGCTGTACTGCCGCCCCACAGGCACGTCTGCACGGAGGGACCCCCAGCGAACCGGCTCTGCAGATCCGAGGACCTTCTCCATCCCCTTCCTCCCTGGCCCCAGTCCCCGCAGCCTGCATTTTGAGTAGATTCCTTCAAATGAGTTGTCATGGGCTACACTGGAATAAGGCTGGGGTGTTTTTTTTTGAAAGACTACTGGTTCCAGGTAGAATTTTCACGGACCTCTCCTCCAGGTTCCCATCCTCAGAAATAAATGTGTAAAAAGCCCAGCAGCGTTCCCATCTGGGAGCTCTGGGCTGGGATCCGGAGACCTGGGACCCTCAGAGGGCTGGTGAGACTCTCTGACTGGCCTCTCCTGCCTGCCAGCCTGTTCCCCCACCCCCTCTGCAAAGTGGGGGACAGATTTAACAGCGAAGGTCCCTTCTGCTCCAGGGTTTTCTGATTTAGGATTCTCGAAAGGCTCAAAGGAAAGGAAATGTGGGCCCCGGAAGCTCGTTGAGTGTAATCTGGGATAATTTCGTGTGCACAGCCCACGGACACAGGGCTTTCTGCACTTGCACTGCCTTCCAAAGTGATCCTAGTTGTCCAAACAAACCCTTCCAATTTGAGAAAAAAAACCCACACTGATCTTGATTTGGGGAATTAACCACTAGGATAGACTGAGTCACTAAAAATGAGACTGTATTCAAGCTGCATTTTTATTTTTTTACTTTTTTTTTTTTTCAAGTTCACATCAGACGGGTCATGTGCCAAAGGTGTAACAAGGTCAATGGGCAGCACATCTCACACAGCCGAGTGAATACCCAATCATCACGCTTATGAACTCCGAAAGGATCTCAAGCTGCATTTTTAAAAATATATTTTTTAGACAAGTTCTTTTTTCTTTTGTTACACATTTTAAGAGAGTATGCACAGCCTGGATATATACAGTCAGGGTGTAAGAGATACACGACATGTACACGCCTCATGCACACCCTTATACGCATGCCTGGGTGGCCTAAATCAGATACTCTTGTTGACATTGGCAATTCTTTGTCAACTCCCTCTTCCTATTGACCCGAAGAGCAGGGAACCTAAAAAGAATTTCCTCCGATCTGAATGTGTTGGTTTCTTGAGCAAAATTTCAGCAGCACCCCCCACTCCCTCCCACCCCAGCAAATGCAAAGGGAGCTTTCTTCCCATTGTCTCCATCTCCCTCTATCCCTTTCTTGAGCTTTCTTTTTCCGTTGCTCTTCCTCCACCCTGAATTGGCCACTAATTCAAAGGTCCCCTGACTTGAAAATTCCAAGCTCGATTATGGCTGGGATGGGAATCCCTCCCGCTCACCAGCCCTGCTGGTCCTTTAGGTAACATCTTCAGACAGTACTTCAGAACAGCTTCTCCCCTACAACTTCAGGTGCTTACTTCCCAAAGAACAGAAGCCCACTGTGATTCGGAAGGTGTTTCTGAGCCCTGACCCCGCCCCCAGAACATTTCTATCCTCTCAGACCTCCTTTGAAGGAACACACCTAACAGGGAGTGAAAAGGCCATGATTGGTCTTTGGATGTCTGCATATTATTGCCTGTATGAAATATGTAAGTGTTTTATATATTCTCCTCTTAGTTTCACCTTATATTTTGTATTGTTGAATGATCCTTTAATTTTTCCTTCTAAGGAGTCCGATTGTGAAATCGCTTATTAGATATGATTAATCTTTATGCTATTCCTGTATATAATGTTTGGTAATAAATAGTAAACCATTGACAATATGATTGACTGGTGCAGTCCAGAACGTGTATCAATAATCTTGTAAAACATGATCACAGACGTTAAGCTAAACTGTTCCTTTTTTTCTTTTTTCTTTTCTTTATTTTTATTTTTTTGGCTAAAAACTACACATGCTTTGGAACGGTTGTAGATATTGATTTGTCTAAAATATTTAATTTAAATAAACCTTTTTGTACCGTGACTATGCTATCATTTGAAATCAAGTTGTGCCAAAAAAGAAATGTTTTTGAGTGAGGCAGAGATAGAATGCCCAGTGCTTCTTAGAGTATTGGTCCAAATGTTTTTTCACATTAACTTTTTTTTTTTTAATTTCACCAAGTTGTTATTTGTAGGCTTATTTTATTTTTGAGTTATGGGAGGAGCTAAAGGCTGGTATCACACGTTGAAAACAGCGTTGTTATTAATAATGATGAAAGAAAAGACTGATTTATAGCCTACTGGCAGAACAGTTTTTTCCTTAGGATATCTTCCCCGCTTGTAAAATAGAACTGCGTATTATCTCAAGATAAGAAGTAAGTTCTGCCAGGTGATTGCTTACTTAAGGCTACCACAATTTCTTTCTTTTTGAAATAGTCTTGAAAAATACCTGGGTTGCCCTCTCCGCTATGTATTTATCGGATGTGGCAATAACAAGGCATGTGGGCTCTCGAAATTGGATGGAATGCTGTGAGAAGGCAGGGGAGCACACGGATCAGCAATTAAAGGATGTAACAACTTGGGAGGTTTGGGATTAAAACGCCAGCCAAAAAGTGCCTGGAAAAAACGGAGGATTGCTCAGTCCATGCAGGTCACCCGTGTCTGGCTTCTCTGTGTGGCGAAGCAGTTGGAACATGTTCGAGTCGTGGCCAGTCTTGTGTTTCCCTGGGGTGCTCGGAGCCAAGGAGTGCGTCTTGGGAGAGCCCAATATGTTCCTCCTTCAATGTTGATCACAATCTATAGTCATTATGTTAATAGCACTTTATAGGTGTAGCGAGCTTTACAGAAGATTTTATGGGCCATTTCTCATCTACAGCCCCAGGTGGGGACTTGTCATCCATCCACCCCACTGTGTACGTAGCTAGGGACACTGGGGTCCAGGGTGGGGAGGTGATACTGTGCAGCTCCCTCTCCCTACATGGCCAGTGGTGGCTTCACCCCTTGTTTTCGCGTACCTTTGTGGATGGCCTCAGCCTACCAGTCTCACACCGAGGGGCTTTGTCCTCCACCATGGCATGGAGTTACTGTACACGCAGTCCAATGTGTACCTATCACAGTCCAGGGAGAGAGCGGACAGAGAGGAAATGACAGAGCTAGAAATAGACCTGATTTGAACTCGAAGCCTCCCAGGCCCACCACGGCGGATAGTGGCGGTTGCAGGGTCACAGCTGGCTGGAGCACTGGCCCAGCAGCATCTGCCTAAGACATTGGCCCTTGCCGGTGCCAAAGGGGCGTATTTCAGGACACACTGTGGGAGAGGGGGCGGTGTCCCTACCCCTGGGAATGCAGGAAACGAGCAGGCGACAGGGCCGCTCTTTCACTTTTGCCTCAGCTCCCCCTGTGACGGTGGTGTCCTGTGACGAGAGCACTTGTTGCCTGCCTGATAAGAATTGATGGCTGTAAAGAGTTATAAGTTATGTTTCTAAATGGTAGATGTTATCCTTTCACTCTTTTCCTTAAGATCCTTCAGCACCTGCTGACCACCCGCGGTTCACAGGATAAGCATGGCGGCGGGCTCATGGGAAGCCGACCAGGGTCAAACCTCCCTGTCCCCTCGCATCTGCAGGTTCCTGGGAGGCACCTGGTAATGTAGTCACATGGCCATTTGTTTTTATAAACTTTGCAAAAAGGAAGATTTCTTGGTGTTCTTTCCTTTAAAAGCCCTCCCTACCCCAATCCCCCACCCCAGTTGTACAAGCTTCAGGACCCCAACACCTGTCTTGGTCGCATGTGAGTGCCCATATGGTAGAGCCTCTTCTTTTCAGAAGCCTCTCGTGGTCCCCATCACCCTCCCCCACACGGTGTACCAACTGCACAGAAAGCCTATTGTTCCCTGGGAATGTTGTCTTTTTCCATACTTTCGTGTTTTCCCTGACCTGGGAGACCCTCGCTTCCATGATCTATCTAATGACATCCTACTCTCTGTCCCAGTCCAGCTCAGATGCCCCTGACCCTGTTGGGAGGGGGGCTAGGAGGGCTTGAGCAGATCTGGTTTATGGCACTTAACAACTGGCGTCAGAATCATTTACCCATCACTTAGTAACTGTTAAACAAGTAAATGAACAAATGAATAAAGTAATCATTTGAAATGGCCTGTAGGTATTCTGCCTGGTGGGGAAAACCTGAAACCTTTGGGTTCCTAATTTTCTGGCCCATCTCTCTGAAAACCAGGACTCTGGAGCCTTTGTGTGTGTGGTCCCCAGGCTCTGAGGCTGGATGTGATGCAGCCACACTATTCACCCTCGCCTGCTAGAATGTAGCCTGGAGCAGAGAGGGCAGGGGATGGGCACGAGGGCACCAGAGGGGAATTTTCTCTTCCATTCTTTCAGCAGCAGAATAGAGCTGAGGACAGATGACCTGTAACATTTGTAATTGTTGACTTTTTCTTTTTGAGAAGGCTGTGTTCTTGATTTCATCCCAGTGAAAGGGATTTGGATGGAAAGAAGGAAAAGAGATAGCTGTATGTATATATGTATGTATGTATGTATGTATGTATCTATTTACCTATCATGCATCTTTCTGTTATCATCTATCCATCTATTCATTTACCCATCTCACCCACCCATCTATCTTTCAGCTATTCCATCCATCCATTCTACCTATCTATTTATCCATCATTTTTTTGGTATTTTAATTCTCAAAAGAGAATGTCTTTGTAGAAAGTTTAAAAAAATTACATTATAGGTTAAAATAAGTCATCTATTGTCCACATCTTAGAGACATTACTGGTGATTTTTTTTTTTTTTTTTGCATCTATCTAATCTTTTTTTTTTTTTGTCTAGTTCTACATATACTTATGTTTTTTTTAATAATAAACATTTTTTCATTAACATTAAATAAACTTGTTATTCCTTAAGTTCCAGGGTGGGGAGGTGATACTGTGCAGGAATAAACATTTTCCTATGCCATTAAACACCATTAAAACACCATTTCTGCAAAAGGTGTTT